GTTGAGAATAAGGGGTACCATTACCTTCCAACTAGCGCCTGAAGAATTGGTTGCGCTGAGAATGTGGGGTACCAGTACTTTCTAGCTAGCACCTGGAGAACTTGGCAAATGTGTTATTACTTTCCAACGGGTGTTTGATAAATTGGTAGAAGTACTATTACCTTCCAGCGGGTGTCTGGTAAATTGGTGTGAGTATTGAAAAGGTGTATCCTTGGCTTACCATGCTTGAGGCAGGTAAAGCATTGTTGGGTTTCTCGTTATCATCTCAGTTCCATTTATGTGTACCATGCATAGTGATGATTTTTTTATGAAGGATGTCAGTTGTCTTATATGGTTATGTAAGGGGCATTTTATATGTATCGTCTTCGTGTTCGTTTGGGATATCGTTATTTGGAAGTTGTAATTTGAATTGGGCATAAGTTTGGAATTGGAAGAAAAGTAATTGGATGTCATGGATTTGTTTTCAAATACCTGTTATTGTCAGGCAAGTCTAAAGTAAAATGGTAGCAAGAAGAAAGAAAAGAGAATGGTTTAGGTTGTTGGATAAAGTGAATGATTTTGAGAAAAGTACCTATGAAAGTATATCTTCAAGTATAAACCAGCACTTATGTATATGGTATGACTTAAAGCACTTGTAACGCCCCAAATTTCTAGTCCAAATGATAATACAACAATTATGGCTCTTTCAAGGAAAATCGAATAAAAATCTCCAAACTTACATTACATGATACAATAGTTCTTCATGCAACAATACATTAATCCAACAACAAGTAAATAAATAAATAAATGCCCCCAAAGGGTTTACAAGTTTCCAAGGCTTGAGCCTGGTTACACAAAACAGTTATTCAAACCCACACACATACAACCCTTGGCTTACACACAGAGTCACAGCAAAATGAAAGTCTCGCACTCTTAACACACATTTCCTCACTTTAGTTAGGCGGCATCACCACATCTTTTCCTTCACAAAAATCCCGTAGGGTGAGCATGAAATGCACATGCCATGCTATGCCCTTTTTTGAAGATAAATCACATTTTCATCTTTTGAAATCATTATGCTCAATGATGTTATGCAATTTCAATTGTTCAAAACTTAACAATTTATTTCAAGGGCGGTAAATACAACTCTGGTAATCCCTAGGTCGGTGTCTGCAAGTAGACTATACAAGTACTACCAAATTGTCATTTTTACCAGTATTAACCGGAAGGCTCGACACCTATCCGCGTGGGTTTTCGGTCTTTCACCCCAGACTCTCAGGGCAACTTATTCAATATCATCTACACCACCTATCAAGACTTACCAACGTATTTACCCCAAAATCATTTCATGAAAACTTGTTTCTCAACATTTTTTCTTAATACAAGTTTTCAAATCAACTTTCAAAGTTTACTGTAATCAAATGAATTGTTATGCCAATAACACAAGATGAATATAAATACTTTTATTCCAATTCATCATCCAAGGAATAACACAATTCCCTTTTCTCAAGTATCCTCAACAATTAGTCATTTCAAGACTATTTCAACATTTTGAACAATAATTTCCAAAATGAACAACAATTATCATATTCCCTGAAATTCATCATTTATATGAATATAAATAAGAAAATTTTCCAAACATCAATTTATTTTGACACACAAAATAAATACAACAATATCATTTATGGATTTTCAGTCTCTTTTAAAAAATCCCCAAATTCTAGGTTTTCTCACCAAAACTATACAACTCAAATCCTTTGAAAGAAAACTTTCCAAAATCATCTTTTCTTCAATCAACGAAGATCAAAACCCATAAGATCATTTTAAAAGAACAAGAAACAAACCCACTTTCAAAATCGCTCAACTTCTTGAATCAACAATCAATTTTCAAAGCTATCGAAAGATGATTTTGAAAATCATATAGATCTTGCAAAAATATATATATATATATAACTCTAAGAAAATCCATACCTCGAGTTTTGAAGAAGAAATGAGATGAAACCCCCAAAATCAACGGTGTCGAAACTCGATCTTCACCGCACATAACGAAGCCCTCGAGAAGTTAACCAGCTTTGATGAAGAACTCTAATGGATCTTGAGAAATCAAGATTTTGATCCAATTTGGCGTAGGGAAATGTAGAGAGAAGGGAGAGGAAAGGGTTTTTAGAGAGAGAGAGATATACAAAAGTGATTTGAAATATCAGATTCACGAACTGATATAACATGGTCTACTCGAGTGTGGAAAGCCCCGCTCAAGTGTCAAATACACTTTCCCAGTACTTTTGCAGACAGGTCAAACTTCTGAAACCAGACATTCTTCGCTCGAGCGCATAAACGGCTACTCGAGCGGACAAGCAACTTCTAATGCATTTTGCATTTTTGCTTCAGGGGCGCTGGCCCTCAACCTCGCCAGGGCATTGCCCTAGGACCCGCTAAGGGGCGCTGCCCTCTGGACCCCCGCA